ATATCGGTGATCCTTTTGTTCGTTTTTCGTTGCTTTCGCGAGGGAAAGCTGACGGGAAATGCTTGGAAATGGTTTTGTTTTTTGATTTTGTGTTTTATTTTGTGAAAAATGTTTTTATTTCCATCCTTTTTCGTGCTGCTTTCTGCAGCTGGCGAGTTGCCGCCGCAGCCTCACCGGCGTCATCGATCGTCGGCGGTTCATTTTTGTTGAAATCTGCTGAAACCCCTTTGAACCGTTCTTCTTCTTTTTTTCAATTTCGTTCTGTTTCTTCTTTTTCACCAGAAACCGAAGCAAAATACCCCGATACAGGAGCCAGTACACCCACCAGTGACAGCCAGGCGCTAGAACCACCCCCACCTCTGTACTCCTACCCTGCTGATGATTACCTGGTGCTTCCTAGTAGCCGAAGGTACTGTGAAGGCAGCAACATTCTCCTCGCCTCTGCACAGAAAGAGGTGCGACCCCAGCACTGCTAGCTGCCTGAACTTAACACAGCTTACAGCCCTGAAACGAAGCAAATTCAAAACAAACGAAAAAACAAAAAATACAACAAACAAATAAGCCAGACAAAACAAGCAAAGAAACACAAACAAAAACAGAAAAATTCATACAATAATATTATTGCTCTTCACAGTCACCTTACAGGAGTGCAACCGAGGCAGTAGCTGGCTGCTCCTCAGACCCCCGCTGCACCTTCTTCTCCTCCGGCCCCCGCAGACGCCTCAGCCCCCCGCTGCCCACGACCTTCACTGACGACCTCATCCCTGGCACTGGAGCGACGTGGTGAGGTTTCCGCTGCTAGTTTAGCGTTTAGGGTTTAGGGTTTAGGGTTTAGAGTATCTCAGCTATTCACTTCTGCTTGTGTCTCTATGCTTTTCTTTTCGTTTCGCTGCATCTTTCTTAAGTTTGCAACCAGGGATTTCTTTGTTTACTTCATTCTTTTTTCCCGTATTCTGTATTTTTTTGTCTCTTGTTTATAATTTTATTATTTATTTCTGCTGTCTGTATTTTTTTGTCTTTTGTTTGTTTTATTATTTCTTTCTATTTTTCATTTCGCTTTGTCTTCAGGTTCTGCAACGGTATGCTGGGGGTGGAGTGTTTATTGTATTTGTTTGTTGTATTAGTTTATTTATTTGTGTACTTCTTTTTTTTCTCTATCTGCCTGCTGTATATATTTATTTATTTGCTTGTTTATTTTTTTTCTTTTTCTTTCTTTTGTGTTGAGGGGAGGAGTGGTGGCGTAGCACAAAGGCTGCTGGCTGGGTGACACTTGTAAAGGGAGACGAACTAAGAGGTCAGACTTCATGCTGCTGCTGCAGCTGCTGTTGCTGCTGCAGCTGCTGTTGCTGCTGCAGCTGCTGTTGCTGCTGCTGCTGTTGCTGCTGCTGCTGCAGTTGCAGCAGCAACGGTAAAAACATTATAATTATATTTTCTATTTCAGTTTTAAGCCCCGGCTTTGACCTGCACTTGAATACAACTGTTGTAAGATTTTTATAAAAAAAAAAAAAAAAAAAAAAAAAAAAAAAAAAAAAAAAAAAAAAAAAAAAAAAAAAAAAAAAAAAAAAATAACAGAACAAACAACAAACAAACAACAAAACAACAACAATAAAGCACCAGCAGCAACAACAAAACAACAAAAAAAGAATAAAGAAAAGCAGTTATTTTATGTTTGTTTAGGGGGGCTGCGAGGGGCCAGATATACTAAAGGAGGTGCCGAGGATAGACGGAGGCAATGCTATACAAGCCGTATTAAATTTGTACGCAGCTACCATCAAGAATTTTATTTTATTTATTTATTTATTTATTTATTTAATTTATTTAATTTATTTAATTTATTTAATTTATTTAATTTATTTAATTTATTTAATTTATTTATTTTTTGTTTTAATTGTATGAACAACACACAGATGTCAAGAGGACTCGGATTGTGATTTCGTGGTGGTGGTGAGTTGTTTTAGTATTTCTCTTTTTATGTATTTGTTTATAAATATAATTATAATAATAATAATAATAATATTTATTTGTTTGTTTATAATAAATAAATAAATAAATAAATAAATAAATATTTTTGTATTCTATAGCCCCCTAGAATTTCACAGCTGCAGAAGATCCACCCAACCGTGTACGCCAGCCGAAAGCGTTGATGTGCAGAGGTAAACAAAAAATTAATTTTATTTTATTTCTTTCTTTTTTTTAAATTTCTTTGTTTGTTTTGTTCTTTTTGATGTATATATATATACATATATATATATATATATATATATATATATATATATATATATATATATATATAT